TGGGCCTTAACCGTGTTTTCGTTTTTGAGAGTCATAGTGGTTAATGCGGTTATCTAAAGGTTTTTTAAGAGAATCATTGCACCAAATGTTCCGCTGAGTCCCTCATAATTCAGTAAATTGAATTTCCCCATTGCAACCTACAGATCGTATTCATAAAAGGAATCTTAACAAAAGATTTTGTTTAGCTGTCAGTATGTGTTGAGTCTTCCCAAAAAAGCTCTTAATATCTTCTTGGCCATCTTGTATCATTCACTCAGATGAAATATTGCCGTTTTTTAAATGACTAAAACCAATTCTGCTTTTAATCCTCACCAAACAACTAGGATAGTTAAAGCTGTCGAATAAAAATGAAAAGTTTGCTTCATACGGCGCCCATGAATAGTATAAGTAAAAACCAGAGAAACATTTTATTACAACATTATGAATAGAGTGATTCGACAGCGATTTGTCAGTGATGTAATAATTAAAATCGAAGGCTCGAATATATTGATGTCTTAATCCACCTATATTGTACTCCTATCATTCACACTTATTTGAATGATAGCATTGCCGATATAACAATGAAGGCACTGGTTGAAGTGCATAGCTCGCTAATGTTGAAGTGAATCTTTTGCTCGTTGTCAAACTCAAGAAAGTGGTAAGCGTAGTCTGAGTCGACTTATTAAAAACCAATTCGTTTGTCTATCATTTTACTCGAAAGACAAACGGTACGATTGTAGATCTGTTAAACCAAGAAAACTAGTAGGTATTGAGCCAGAAGGCTTTTAGAACTTCTACCATCATTCTCCACGCTACAGACCGTGAGTGACATGCGATAAAACTGGGAGGGTGTGACTCCCCACCAACATAGTTAAAATAGGGGATCAGTGGACTTCAGATGATCGCATCATTGAAGTCGCCTTTTATTTTCTAGACTATTAGTGGATCCACTAAGCGCGTTGTCAATGAGCCCCGCCGGCGATTGGGTAGCGATGGCCTCAGAGGGCAGCGGAGGTGGAGGTGGCGGTAATTTGGCGGTGTGGGAGTGGCGCAGTCGGTGCGCCCACTTGCGCGCCGCCTCTCACGCCGCAAATGAGGTTGCCGGTCTCGCCTACTCCCCCGATGGGCGCCTCCTAGCCACCGGAGGGCGCGACGCCAAGGTGCGGCTCTGGCGGGTCGCCTCGGGGGGTCGAGCTGTCGTCACCTTTCATGAACACGCCGCGCCCATCACCGCTGTAGCCTTCCCCACTGCCAAGCCCAAGGTCCTCATCTCTGCCAGTCTTGATGGCACAATAAGGGCCTTCGATTTGAATAGGTCAGTCGCATTCTTGTCTACGTGGTGCTTGAGTTGTCTTTAATGACGTTACGAGCCTTATCAGTCTGTGGATAGGCATGCTGTCAACCTCCAGAAGGTGTATGAGGCGATTAGTACAAGTAATACCAGAGCAATTATGCGCTACCAACGTGGTTTTCGAATCGCGGTAGCCTAAGGAAGATCGCATGCTTAACTGTACACTCGGAACAAACGCTGTTCTGTCTGTTTGCAGAACAAACAGGCAAATGTTTTTCTTTATCAGTTTTTTTGGCAATTAAAAGATCTTATTTATGTCAAATGTGTAGCTAAAAGAATCCCAAAATAATAGGGTATTTGAGTCTTCTAAGCGACTTGCCACATTTCTTCCTTTTGTAAGAACAATTGTGAGTAACTAGAAGATAAACGATCCACGGAGATACTTGGTGAATCTATGTTGTACGGAACTCTGCAGTTGCTCTTCCTTGTATCAGTTTTTTCAATAGGGAATATGCGATGTAATCTATCCACACCTGTCTAATATTCCCTGGTAGAGATTATAAGGTCACTTTGGAGTAGTGGTAAGGAGTTCATCTATTTTTGTCTGTTATATAATGCGGATCCATTGTCTGAGTGAAGATCCCCAAAGTCGATTGCTTGACCATTGAATCGGATTATCTTAATTATACGTGAGATTTATTGAATGACCATGCCTCTGATTTATTTGCAACTTCTACCAGTGAGATTACAAATACTTCTTTACTTGCTATCTGACATGAGTACATTTGGCGGGTGATGCGAGTGAACACTCAATGCTCGACGAAATATCTTCAACTTAACGCAAAAATTACTACTTACAATAACATAGCAGCATGTGCAATAAATGTCAGATATCGTAACTTCCGGACAATGTCAGTGCCCAATCGCGGTGGGGTGCAGTTCTCCTGCCTAGCGGTGGACTCGATGGGCGAGTTGGTGGCCAGTGGTGCTTTGGATACTTTTGAGGGCTTCATCTTTGCCTTACGGACTGGAGACCTCCTAGCCTGCCTCACCGGCCACACAGCGCCTGTCTCCGCGGTACAGTTCAATCCGGCGTTGGAGCAGTTCGGCCGACTGGAGGTCCTCACTGCCAGCTGGGACGCTTCTGTCCGCACCTGGAGTCTGGCTGAGTGCGAAGCCGCCGCTGGTGGTAGCGAGGGCGGTGGATGCACTTTGTTGGAGACCATTTCTGTACCATTGGACGGTGAGTCTATCTACCATTAACTTCCTGATTAACTCAAGCGTAACCAATACCGTTTTTGTGGCTGAAGGCTTTCTTAAAAAGGTAGTAATATAATTGTGATTTTGCTCACCGAGACCACGCTATTAAACGTTTCTACAGAGTTTGTTTTGCAAGTTTAAACTTAGTAGTACGCTATTTACAGTAGTTCCTACTGTTTGCTACTTATATGTTGCGTAGTAGTGAAGGTATTTATTTATGGCTGAATGACTTTTTAGTGAAAGTATTTTTGATTTACTATCTTAGTCTTAGTCATTTCTAAAAACCAAGTCGATGGGTGGGTGGTTTTCATCTGCAATTTTCGAATTGACGACTGGAACGAAATGCAGTCGATGATTGTGCCATTTTTAGGATGGAAATTAAACATTTTGAACTCAACATTTTGAAAGCAGTGGATGTATTCAGAAAATTTTAAATTGAACTACGCGATTCTTAGAAGATCATTTGATTACTTTGTGCCAACCCCTTAAATTTACATGAATGCCCAAGCAAACGGGTAGGCATTGATTTAGCTGGTTAAAGAATTAGGTTGCATTTTTTATCCCTGAGGGGGTATTATTTTTCCTAGAATTGGACAGCAACCTTCAGCACCAGATGCTTCCTGTACTTATCGTCTGCTCTCATAATGATGGAGATAACCTTGGATTTGATTTGTTCTTTTTCATATAAATGTTGCACGTTTCACCTACTGAAGTCGAATTTTTTGATCCAATTTTAGTTTACGCGTCGTGGAACTAAGTCACTTCCTTGATCTGTAACAGCATAATTGTGTTCAATCAATTCTCATAATGCAAAATCATAAACCACCTTGGGTTTGTTTCAGGCTTTGGAATTTCATTCTTTTCCGCTGTCTTACCTGAGCTTTAAATCCGCGGGTGTACTTTGTTTCTCCCATACCCAGAGATCGAGAACGCTACTGACAGCTTGATTCAGTTAAGCGATTGACGCTTCCCAATGGTATCTACTATTGTGATCATTTACTTCACAGTATGGCTTTAGAAATGGACCACCATTTCAACTTCCATTGAGTTAGTCTCCACCCTCTGAACTTCAGTTGTGTGCACGGCGTACCGCCATGACGGTCGGGAATTGGCAGTGGCCCTACTCAACGCTACCATCCTTCTGTTTGACCCCGCTGAAGGTACCCAATTGGGTAGCATAGAGGGTCGCTGTGATCTTGACGTCGCCCAAGTCTCCAATGAGGACCACGTCACTCCCCACAGGGCCGCCAAGGAGAGGTTGGTCGTACCTTATTTTCCATCATTTTCGGAAGATGTTTCAAATGTCCTGTTTTTTTTTGTGGGACATTTGAAGAAATGACTTTGTTTAAGTTTCCAGATTGGTTTTGTCAACTCACTGATTCAATGTTCCTTCATAAGATAATTTAGTGGCGTTGTACGCATAATTACTTTATTTGGGCAGCCCGTCCATTCTGAGTGTACTAACAATGTTTTCTGGAATCCTAGATAATCAATTCTGAATTCTTTTTGTACTACGCCTTGGAACACACTCAATTGGAAATGGAATGGGATAGTATGGAAATAGCTACAATTCTATTAAAAAATCAATGTGGCAATTCACGGAATACGAAATGGTGGTTCTTATGGTTCCAAATAATTTGTGGATTTTAGCTCTTCCCCAGGCAGTTCCTTTAAGACACGTATTTTTTTAGTTAATGACGTGAAATCTATTCTCAAGTATTTCGAGGAAAATTTAGCTCAGCCTTTGTTAGTAAGCAGCTTAAGTCGGTAAGCGTTGGTAACACAGTGAAGAATTTAAGAAATTTATTTTAGTACCTCATAAGGCAAAATCAAAGACAACTTCCATTCTGTACCAATGAAAACCTGCGTTAACTATTGTCACCTGGTTTTGTTGGACCAAATTAACCCATTAAACTACAATATCTTGCGAACGCGGAAGTAGTAGACCAATTTATATTTTGGAAAAATGTTTGCTCATCGTGGGTTTATGGAATAAGTAATCAAATGAACCTTTTTGAGTTTTCAAATTTTATTGCAAAATGCAAAACTACTTGTTTTCATTGTTAACAATGCCACATAAAAATCTTTAATTTGGTTATTTGCATAGGCAGATTTTAAGATGAACATTTCATAGTTTTTCTACTCTGAACGGCTGTAACTTCTGCAGGTAAAAGTTTAGTAGTTTGATAAGGTTTTTACTTAATATAAAAAGACAAATTAACGAACGAACGGCCACTTATCGCGAGAAACTCTCAACACCTCTTCTATATTCCGCCTACTACTTTGTCGTAACTGTTGCTATACTAGGTGGAAGAATTGTGATACATTTTCCAGTGCTTTCATATTATTGCCATGTTATTCTTGTGCTTCTGATCAGTCGAAATTGCATTATGGAACATCTTCAAAAGACTGAGGGTGAGTGAATGGTCATAGATATTAATTAGGTTTAAGTGAAGTAAGGTGATCAAGCCACATTTTTCCACCCTCTCCTTCTTCAACTCCAACCGGTGATTTGCTATTCAGTGGTGCTGATTTGATTTATCTAGTTTCAACATTTAGGAAAAACGAAGTAACGTTATGTTGAAATCACAACATACATAAATACAATAGCTCTCTGTTGCCGATGTTTTACTACATTGTACTGGCCGATATTCCCGAATGAGTCTTTTTGGACTAGCTACATTCATACCCTTTTATCCATAAAATGCTTTTTAATCCTTAACTACAGGAACGGAGGTTTGGTTTGATACTGTCTATCAACGTTGTGCGGACTCAATATCCGATTGTCTTCAATTTAAAATGTTTGCATCTCATGCTTACCATAAAAGCGTGCTTATTTCTGGGTGAAATCGTTGATTATTCATAGCTAAATTTTATACTAATCAAGAAGCCACGGCAGCCTTAAGATGAGGTATCTTTGTTCATTTGAGACCAAGGGGATCACTTTATCTGTCTCCAGGACTGATATAAAAGGAAGGAATGCTTCTTGAACGATATTGCTTTCAAAATAAAATAAATTTAATGGACAGCTGCGTATTTGCTGCATGACTTGTCGACATACACGTAGACTGAGAACACGTATTTGGATATGTTTTCACGGTAGCTGCACTAGCCACAGCTCCGGATCAACTTTTTAGACAAAATATTTCGTCATTATGGAGTTGTATTTAAAGTCATTATGTAGGTGAATTAGGGGGATAATAAACCACACTAAAGCACTAATAAGTAGAAATACCCCTTAAATGAATGCTGATGTTCATGCCCTCCGGTCACATCTCAGGTATTACCTTTATGTCTACACCTCACGCATTTCAGTAAAGTGAAATCGGTATTAAGGCGGTCGTTTGCGAAGGCTAAAAACAATCGATGCACAAACTGTGCATTCGCAGTTTAGTGGGCAAATTTTTGTTGGTAAATCGACACACAAAGTAGAAAAATAAACATTCTGACCGAGCAAATCCGATGCAAATTGAAAACATTTAGAGGGATTTTCTCTTTCGCCGCCCCTTTTCTCTCTTTAAATAAGCGTTAACTTTTTTACGAGTAATTCTAAAGGGTTCTCACCCATCTTAATAGCCAAATGTAGGGCTTTAAGGTGTGAAACTAATTTCAAACATCGTCGTTACTTTTTGAATGAAAGACCGGTTCCCCTCCCATCACCGTAATTTTACCGTCTAATTTGAAATTCCACAGCGCGAAGCACTCACCTTTTTCAACTAGGTGCCAACTTTTGATCAAGGCAAGGCGACGTCAAGCCCAGTAAATGAAAAGGTTAAGCTAAAGCTCTCTTGGTCAGTTTTGAGAGAAATGGCCAATTATTGGACCATGTCTGGGGCATCAGTATGGCTTCTACCTATTAAGGTTTTTGAAATTTAGGACAGTGGGGGAGGCGTTCAATTAAGATGAACTTGCTAGTAAACAGGCTTATGAACGCCGAGAAAAAACACCGGCATCTTCTCACATCTCCTATTGGGATGTCAATATGTCCCAAAGAGCGAATTGATCCCCTTTGGACCCTAGTTAAGCTTATTTAGGGCATCACACTCTCCTTTCACATTTTTGTAACGGATATGCCTTATTTAATCAGAGTGGAAAAATCGCTAGCGTTGTGGATTTCTTTCGCGATGAATAATTTTTTTACGGAAAAGTCGCATTTTACCACTTTTCAGATAGTATTTTTAGTGTTTTGTGTTGGCATTTTATCGACCTCGTCAAGCAAATTCCTGCTAGCAAATATAGGTTGTAAAAGACTAGGTGGTGTAAAAGGTATGCGTAAATAGTAAAAAGTTGCTAAAATTTGTGACTGGTAGATCTGCCATACCATGTGACCCATGGGAATTTCATGGATTATAAAATTGTTAACCTGGAAAATCGCTAAAATTGACATTTCTATGTTAGTGTTTAATGCAACTACATAGGTATGAATGATGTAAACTCTCGTACGCATTGAAAAACTGGGATTTGGGGCAACACACGAGTTGTATGTGCGGCGTTTTTGCTGGCTAACTATGAGTTAATATAATAACTAATCAACTATTTTTTAAACTTTAAGACTGCTGATTAAACTATCGAGTCTTATTTGGAGTTGCTTCAACCACATTTTTGAGCGAAATCGGCGTACTTGTTTGTTGGTCGCGTTCCTTTGGTAGGCACCGTGTTAGAATGCCTTTTTTTGAATTTTCAGGGCGATTGTTTAAGTGATCATAAAGACTAAAATTAGGTTTTAGCAACAAAATGACATCGATAGACGCAACAATATAGAAAGTTTTTACTGGGATGTCAGTTTGTTTTGCTAAAAATCAAATTGCACCGATTGTATTTATCATAAACATTCCTTTTTGTGGTACCAGATTGATTTTTTTTCCTAAGATGTAGTTTTTAAATATCCAAGTTTGCTAATCGTTGATGGTATGTAATTCCTTAATTGAATAACTCTTAAATCTTTCATTCTATTTTCACAGCTGCCCTCCAGCAAGTTTACATTGTGTGAGCTTTTAGCTCTCTAAAATTTGGATCTAGCTAAATCATTTTTTTCATAACATTCTAGAAAGTTTCTCTCAATTGCCTACTCCACAGATGGCCAGCACCTGTTGGCTGCTGGCGACTCGAAGTTCATCTGCCTCTACTCAGTGACAGAGCGTCTATTGGTAAAGCGTTTCGAATTGACCGTTAATCTTTCGCTGGAGGGGGTGCAGGAAGCGCACGACCGACGTCGCTACCTAGCTGTCTTTAGTGCGGAGTCTGCGGCAGCTCGTGCAGACCACCGCGATGCCCTGCTCCTACCTGGCGTCCGCTCCGGCGATGACCATTGCCGTCGCTGGTGGCGCCCCGACGTCCGTGTCGCATCGGTCAGCTTTGCCCCCACTGGTGAGTCTCCCCATCAAATGTCCATCCTTCAAGCAGAGGCAATCGTTTTAATGAGAGGCTTTCCGGCGTTTAGAAGATCCTTGGTGTCATTATAGTTTTAGGATTGGAAACCAAGTTTCCTCCCATTTATGGGAAGAATAGGCAACAAATGAGACCCACTGTTTAAAATATCGTTGTAAGTTCTAGATGAGTTTTTTTGGATATTCTTTTCAGATAGGGTTTTTCCTAAAGTATTTTTTTTCAGTCAATTTGCTATCATTCCTATATGCAACGCTTAGATTAACGTCAGTGCCATGGTTATAGTAACGTGCGCACGCTTTTCGACAGCTCAAAATGATATGAGCAGCTTGCAAGAAGTACTTCGAGGTCTAGAAGATTTGTTATTCATTTGTTTCAAGGCCTGATAAATATGACGAATGGTAGTCCATTCCCTGTAGTTCGGTCAGCAATTTTGTGTAACCCATGGTGAAATGGATTTTGTACTTCGAAGTAGTTGACCTTCATTTTCCTTCTCCCCACCACCTTGAAATTTTTTTTTGCTATAGCAGACTGCAAAGAAAATAATACTGCTTTACTCTCCATTTGAAATGGACACTGGGTATTTTATGATTGAAATTAATTAATTTCCAACGAAACCGAATTTTTATCCTATGCCTAAGATTTATAACTGATGAACAACGTCAAGCACTTAAATTATTGGTGGTGATGCGGTGATGGTAACCTGTTTACGCCTCTCGGCGGCCAAGAGGAAGTCTGGAGTGGGTGCATTGAAATACTTTTTTTCTGGATCACACTCTCCTTCTCGTCCTCTTATCACCCTCAACAACAGTCGGTGGACCAATTACTCAAGTAGTACGTGCCTAAGCTGTCATCATCGAGGTTGCTATGGCGTAGCTTGGTTGTGATTTTTGGCAATCAAAAGGCATCCGGAAGCTATTTTTTTACGACTTGTAGGAATCGCACCACGCTAAGCAGATGCTTTAGCCAGCTGTTGCGAAGTCTGATTGATACGTTGGATGAAATACGGATAACCTGAACACGATTTACTCAGGTTTGCTCTTTTAAGAAAATTAGCTCCCCAATCACAAGTCCTCCCATATTTTATACCGTATGAAACTGTAATTAGTAATACTATATTCATAATTTTCCGTCGTTGTTCAGATGAATAGCAACTTCGGTTTACTTTAATATCCGAACTTGCACTAATTGCGGTATGGGGGGTGTTTTAAGCAAAATCGAATTTGCCATTTTTTACTTTAAATGACCGTGGTTTTCGGAGGTTTTTTTAAGTGTCTAACTTTATCGTATATATTTTTATGGGTTTCAATTGGACAGAATTATCCGCGAGTTCACTATCATCCAAAATTTCGTTTTAAAAGAACGCGAGATTTTGACCTGCAACATCGGAGTAGGCCTAAATACCTTTGTAAAAGCTCCTCTTATACGAACCAAGAGTAGTTTTATGACATGACAACTCTCTAATCTGCAATTTATAAGACGCCCATTTACGAAGGATTGGCAAAACAGTATGTACTTCGGGGAACTGGTTTTTTGTCTTCCGAAAGAGACATTGTCAAGGCCTTAGCTTCACTGTACGAAAAGTTGTTAAATGAATGTCAAAAATATGCTCAACGCTGATGTACATGGTGTCATTAAACTATCTTACTAAAGGCCACCAATCCTAGTCGGTACTCTAACGCGTAAATAGAAATTACACTTAACATACATTCACATTAGAAATGCTTTGCAAATGAGCATTTTCGATACACTATGATATAGGATTGATAGATGTAAGTTATCGCCAAAACGGTATTACTGTGGACTAAGCTGGGAATACTTTGCGTAGTTTCCAATCTTCTGAGTGCAGTTTCCACCTTCAATCACTCAACGCGGAAAAGCCAAATTCATCTGAAATTTGAATTTTGTGTTTTGCGGCTTTGGCTTCTCGAAAGTGCAGGGAAGTGTAGGTATGATTATTTCCAAGGGAAGTCTATAATTGTTGCCCCTTTGATTATGCGTATGCTACATTTGAAAATTGAAACTGCATATCTAATCAGTGAAATAAATAGCTTTCCTCTTTGGAAATGGAAGCTGTTACCTCTTTCTCTGATCGAACACGGGATGTGGGGGACCGCTGCTTCAGCAGTCCACCCAAACACGGCAGGGGATGTGGTCGTAGGGCCTTTCCCACCGGTTTCTCTGTTGCCACTTCTCTCCTTACTTCTATTCCGCCTCCTACGGCCCCCTTTAGGGGATGCTAGGTTTCACCGTCCCTTGTTACTGCCTATCGCCGCTACACGATGGAGCAGAAGTGTGTGATGAATCTCTTGGCTAAACGCCAAGGTGAAGAAACCTCTCCGCTGAAGAACTGCGAATGACGATGAAAAACGGCAATCGTAGCAGAATATCTACATAAAGAAAAATAACATCCCTTTTTAAAAGTACACTTTCCTTAAAAGTTCATGAATCTTGGCAGAATGTGTCCCAAGTTTTCCGCCATTTCCAAACTTGGCTATGCAGAAGTTGAATAACGTTTCTGAAGGTATGCAGTAGATCTCTGAAATTCCAGATTACCTCCGCTTATATTACCGTCTCTGGTTTTACTTCCACGACAGCTCCGCAAGAATCATGCTTGATCTTTAACTGTCGATTTGCGGCACGCACATTTAAGATTCTTCATTATTTGCTGAAATATTGCGGATTAACGGTAACATTTACTCACCTCTTATTTAGTTCGATGTGAGTACTGCGAGTAGTTTAGCGTATTATGGGGACTTAGGCCAGCAGCCGCGTATAATTGCTATTTCCATCTGCGCACGAACTTAAAGAAGAAAATGAGTACTTGGTGATTTTTAGCCGAACTTTAATGCTAAAGCGTGGATCCTTAACAAAAGCATTGCCAAATACGCTAGGTATTTATACAGGGCATTAAATGACTTTGCTTCCTTTAATGAAGTAAGCACCTTGACGAGGCCTCTTTAAGAAATCAAAAATGACACAATCTTTCGAAGTACACTTTGCTAATCCTCAAACACGTCCCTCTTACAAATCTTGGATTAGTGGAGTTTAATGGGCCATTCGGCCGCTTCTATTTCCCCTTTAAAGTACCTCTTTGCAAAGAAATGCAATTTCAGTTCTAAACCTCTCTTCAAGGTGGAATTCGGAGTTTTCATTGCTTGAAATTGTAGTTTTGGAAGCCTCTGCACCTACTCAGCTGGAATATGCCAAATTTACGCTACCGAAAATGACTAATTTACATCTCGTCCCAACCCAACTCCTTCGCTGTAAGGATTAAATTTGTTTGCTTTTCTATCAACTCGGTACTTTGAGACTTGATCTATGAGTAACCTGTGCAACAGTAATGATAACAACGATACAACATACTAAGGGTCCCTCTGATGTTCGCTCGTGACATGTGGTCTGTTTAAAACCCACTTCAAAATTATTTTTGTTTTCCTAAAATACTTTTAGTTTTATTGAAATAAGACGATCTGCTAATGCAGACTCTGTTAAGCGGTTTTTATTGGAGCTGTTATGGCCTCTATTTGATAAGTATGGATGAACTTAGAAGGAAATCTTCCCATTACTATGAGGTTATACAGTTGTTAGTCTAGTTTGCTTAGCAGTTTATCTAGCATATTTTTGAAAGGAGAATTTCTCAAGGGAGGGGGCACCCTAATCTTTTGTATATTGGTTTGAAGGAATAATGTTTAAGCCATCGCCTCAGCTTCACACCTTGATACAGTAAGAGGAGCTTCTTGTGTAAGAATATGCTGGAAAGAAGTAGCTCAGTGTTGGTTTACATCTGTTATTGCCTCCCAAACAAAGTGTTTCCCCTTGTTCCCTCCTTCTTGAAGAAGTCGATTGGGGAAGATTATTTTTTCGTAAGCCACATTGTTGAGCGAAAGGTGACTGAAAGAGATGAAAAGGAGCCTCGAATCACCTCATTTCGATTAATGGATATAAGATTGAATTGTTTCGATCATTTGAAATAGCATGAATGGGAATGTTAGTAATGAAGTTGAAAGCAAAGTAAGCTTCCCCGGGCGTTCAGATTGTGCCTTAAGTTGTTTTACAACATCGGAATGGTTTAAGCGTTCCGATTAACTTTTCAATAGGGTACAAAATATGCATTTCCCAATTTCTTCATTTAGTTAAAGATTCTTTAGAATTATGATGAATGTTTGTTTTTGTCTAACTAGAAATTATAGGGCGATTTGTATCGGATATCATTGTGTACTACCATAAACTAGACTATTATTGTGTTGTCAAAGTGTGTGTAGAGGGCTTCCAAAGTTGTCAAAACTAGATTTGATTACTATGAGCGCAAATATCTTGTGATAAACTGGCATCCTCGTTTTCATCCTGCGCGATGCATTAAAGCTGTCGTCCTTGCTACTGAAATTGCTTCTGAAGAACGGTTGAGGAGTAAAACCTTTGTTTCTCTGCTAATTTAATGTTACCCCTTAGATGTAGCTTCCAAAGTCTGTGAAAATTGGGTTAACTTTACACTATCCACACTTGTTAAGTCGAAAAACCTAATTGGTGACTGGGAGTTTTCAGACTCAAACAGTATCTGGCCTCAGGTAATTTTTCTGATTAGAAAACTTCAACCAAATTAGACGTAGAAGTTAGTCAACATACAATTTCCGGTACGAAGTCTAAGTCCGAATCACCTAGACACCATTAAGGAATTGGAAGCCAAATCTCGGATTTTCACAAAATTGGACACCCGCGGACATAAATCGGAGTGGGATTGAGTGATAAGCTTGTGTTCCTCTTGAAGGCATCACTATTATTTAAAGTTGTATTTGAAGAGGTAGTTATCCAGTTCGACAATAGTTTTTTTTTAACAATTACTTATTGTTTTCAGGGGATGCATTTGCCGTAGCGGCCACGGAAGGTGTTTTTGTGTACACCATAGAGAAGGGGGGCTTGGCTAGCAACCTCAGCGGCGTCTCCAACTGGCTCTTTGACGCAGTGGCGGTGGACGAGGAGGCCACACCATCCAATGCTAGGTTGCAGCTGGCGCAGGGGAACTTCTCCTCATCACTGGACATCGCGTTGCGTCTGCAAATACCCAGTCTTATCGAGGAGGTCATTGAAACCGTGCCACACAGTCTGAGTGAGTGGTACCCCTCTATTCTCCGCTTCCTACTATCTTTTCTCTTGTCGATGCTATATAGCGTTTACTTGGTCGTTTCTGTTCTCATTTCTGGAACCTTCAAAGAAAGTATGGGTAGATCAATGTGTTGTCTCAAAACAAATGTATACAAAGCATTTAGCAGTTGTCCTATTTAAGCTAATTCGTTCGCAAAACCCACAAATAGGCGTCTAGATTCGTATTGAGTTTTAAGGATTTATTAGTTATGCACCTACAATGGCTAATTTTATTTGTTTTCTTGAATAAACTTGTTTTTGATGGTCTTCTGGTATTTTGAAAACTTTTTTATTTGGAACGCAATTCCGTTCCATTTTTAGCTGTTCGATTAACAGGTCGATATTTCACATGATTACGTGTTGGTTTCATTGCATGAATTTTGTGTTCAGTCTCATGATTTTTGTCTCTGTCTCATCCTGCTTGCGGTTCTAGTCTCTCCGGAAGATACGTTAGTGAAAAGCGCCTCTTTTTCTTTCATAACATATATAGGCTGTAATCTTTTTAAAATGGGATTTTCTTGGAATGCATAACCAAAAGATATGAGCCTTTAGTCATTGCAGCTAGTTTACTCTTACTAAACATGAGTCATCGATGAACTGCTTGGTTTATTGGGATTCGCTGTGCCGAATTTTGGGGCTTTTGTGCAATTCAGTTTTCGGTAATTTCATATCTATTTACAGTAAATTTTAATTCGCACTACAAATTACGTTCAAAAATTTACGATCTTGCTTGCCCTTAATCCGACCTACACCATATTGTTTCAAATGCACCATGAGATTTGCCTTTCTTTCACTTCATTTGAAATAGTTTTATGGTTTTGGCGTTGATTTCGCGGTGCTTTTATGTAGGGTGCTCTTTGCTATCTGCCGTTTTTAAGAATTCACTTTTTGTTGTGGTTGAAGATGCTGCCATCCATAAGGTAGTGCTCATCAGAATAAAATCCAAACCTTGAGAGCTTGGAAACATTTGAACAAGCTATTTGATTGCTAACTTAACCAAATAGTCAATTTTGTTTTCAATTGATGCAAATTATACAGCGGCCTAGTTGTAAAGTCATAATGACTAGGATGAATAAGCGAACCGATCTATCGAATTTAAGTGAATGTGATTACATCTGCACCTTGTAATGACTTCTTTTACTTCCGTTTACAATAAATTCTTCCTCTCCTACAAGCTCATCCGGCACACCCAGTTGCGTATGGTCTGTTCCACTGATGACCAATCTACTTATTCCACATTCTTAATTTTCTATCCTGTTTGCTAGCGTTCCTGTTTTTTCCGAAAGACATGCCACTTGTGCTTTTTCACTTACTACTAACACACACGGCGTGCGCATTCCTTTGGAAGGCGAAGGCACAGGGAATCTGTCGCACTTGATCCGTATTTCAAGTCTTTCAGTTGATGATGTGTAAGAACGCGTTTACTTCAAATGAGGCCAGTCTGATATTGTACGATTTATTTTTCGCAAAAATAATGCCTTTCGACGAAACTCACTTAAAATAAATCAGGAAGAAGTGTACTTACAAAGTTCATCAAAATTCTTGAGTGCTTATCATTGATGTTTGGTACAATGTATAAATACAATTCTTTGATTTAAATTCATAGCACTTGAAAATAACATCTCTTGGCAACATCTCCGTGGTATAGTTATGAAGTCCTTTAAATCTTCATCTTTGTTAACGGCATTCATGCTAAAGTATGTTTAGATTCCCAAAAAAAATTGATGCACTCTTCACACTCCTAGGGCTTCACTGTTTCCAGTTTTCATCTCTGTCGGCCTTCCTCGCCTTTCCAACAGAAGTATCAGTAAACTCTTACCATTTTGTCTTCCATAGTATTCACATTCCTAAGAAAAAGGGATTTTGAAATAATTTACAGGGGGCTTATGGCACATAAACATCGGTTTTTGGGGGGTACATGCTGTTTATGCTTGCTTCATTGGCCAAAATAAGAATTTCTCTAGGGATTCATTTGTTTCATTCAGTGCCAATAGTGTATTGATTGAGGAAAGATTGTCTGTAGAAGACCTAGAGTTGAGTAAAATGGGTGCCGATAGACCGGTATCATTTTTCCACCTACCAGCCAACGCCTAAACCGCACCTGTCTTCTTTTGAAAAAGAAGTCATGAGGAAATTGTGGTACGGGAGGGGTATTTTGGACATGCTCTTCCCAGTCGGCCACAGCCCAAGGCCATGGCATTTGAATCTGACTGAGAATACCGTCATTTCTTGAAACCTATTTGAATTATCTGCCAAGTTTTGCGATGAAATCTTCCATTTCTTCAATGGCATTTGCGTCGAAGCACATTTGAATTCGTGGAAACAGCTGACCTATTTGTCCAACATCACAACAGATTTTACCTCTCTTTCTGGTTCTCTTTGTTAAACATTCCGTTCCTTTCCAACAGACGTGTAAAGTTCGCGCGAATGTATCGTGTCGGTGAACCACCTCTTTACCCTCCATGCCACTCACTGTCTTGAGGAGAAGGGATCCGAATTAACCTATAGGGGCTCATGACACATCAGTGCTAGTTTGAAGTTGCTGCATTATCAAAAATGATGATTTCCCCGTAGGAAGAGTACCCCAAACTAGAAGTGCATAACGTCTGGGTTTCTGCTGATTTGTTCCATTTAGTGTCGATTGCGAACTAATCGAAGATTAATAACTTTTTCAAAGATTTGAACCTGAACGATACAAATCGCTTTCCCCCTTCTGCTAACATCCACACCCTCTCTTTATGGCTTCGGCATGTTCGAGCTTAGAAGGGTCGTATTATTATGTCATTATTAATTCAATATTTTTAACCTTCTGATTGTTAGTAAAATTTGTTTTTTTAGCCAGGCATAGCATGCAATTTTAGCGTTTGTCCTTTTTTTGAGAATACCGGCTTCGGATGAAATTTGTCATTGATTTATAAATGAGTCGTGCATCATTTAGGTTATAGCAGACAGTTGTGTATCTTGGCATCCCAAAATTTCTTACTCTTTGATGAATTTTGAACGAACGCATTTCTGATGGCGTAATGAGGTATATTATTCTCCAAAAACGTTTTATTTTAGCGTAAAAGTGACAAAAGAGTTTGCTATTTGAACAGGATGCCAGGATGGTGACTAAATTGCAGAGACTGGAAAGTCTGTAGATTTGAATACACAGTAAACGGTATATATAATAAATTTTGATCTATGATAACGAAATAGCTTATTACCCATAATTTTTCTGAAAAAACGCTCCCAGTTTCTCATCAATACGGTTCACTTGCTTTTTTCCACAATCCATCGATTTGCAGTAATGCTTCTAATGCCACCATTAAATCCTGTCCAAATTCCCCGAATCATTTGAAACTCTTGCTCTCCAATACATGAATTTCCCTCCATTTCTTTTCTGTCTCGGCATTCCTATTTTGAACAGTCTTGTCAAGTTTGCAGATGTGTGTGTGGATATTACCGTGTTACCGGACCAGCGCACCCTTTACCCTTAACGGGATTCGCATTTCTTGGGATAGGGGGTCGGAATTAACCCACAGGGCCTTTCTCACGCGCAATAGTTTTTGATTAGTCGACCCTAGTTGTCGCTGCTACATTAATGGAATTTGAATTTTTTAAAGGGGCACTAAAACAAAAATGAGGCGAATGGGCCTATTCATTTTGGAAAGGAAAAATCGGGCTGATTTTTTAATGACCCGAACTTGAAGAATATGGATTCAAATAAGAACAAATTTATCCAATTTATAGATAATATCTTGTGCAAATTTGGACCTAGAACACATAATGTAACTTCACCCTGTCACAAAAGTTTTCAGCTTTGTCATCTGGTGAATTATTCCTGATTTATTTACTTGTGAAAACAGGTGTTGTTGGTATAATTTAGTTATTTGTTTAAAAATGCTCTCCGGCTCACTGACTTATTTTCGTCGGTAATAAGTATTTTACAGCCAAGTCAAAATTTCGAAGTTTTGTTTGGGTCTGTCGAGGCAAATGTGGTACAACTTAGCACAAAATTTTATGGAATTAATGGGCTGGATTTGTAGAATTTTTATGAACTTCCGAAGTCTTTCCATCTCCTTGAATTACGAAACTATTAAATTCGATTGATGATTTATTAATAGTCACCCCGATTTATAATGTGGATATGTACTCATCGACTGCTCTGGCCTCAATTGTTATTAATGTCTATACTAAGTAAATTGTCATAATTTCTTAGATGAGCATAATTGTATTTATGAGTATAAGCTGCCCTACAACAGCCTAAAATTGCTGTATTGTCAAAATGCTGGGTTTCCGTTCACTACTCTTTCATTTACTTCACACGAAGAAAAGTGCAGTCGTCAATCGCCCGACCGGAATATTCTGCATATTTCCATCTTAAGTAAGAGCTATTTTGCAGCAAATTCTCATCTGCTCCTTTCATCGGTACAATATTTGGTCGATGTTTGCATTCATGTCCACATATTTGGATCACAGATAATTTCGGGGACATATGAACATCCAAACGCTGAATCATCCATGAACTATCGTGATCTCTTCATTAAATTAACCGCAAATTTGCTTTCTCAGTATCTTATTTCTGACTTGAAGCGGTTGAAGCCTTCTGATATCATTGAAATGAGTCGGGGTATCAGTCCACAAATTTTGATAGATGCCCCATTTTTTGGTAATCGTGTTTCAGTTTGGCAAGCTCCTGGATTTTTCTTCCGACATTATGCTTATTTATCTTGACTCGAGTTGAGAATTACACGCTTTTCACTCCTAATTTGTCTCAACAACTAGCGCCGAAAGTTCCTTTGAATAAACGGTTGATCCTCCATGTAATATTCATTGAAATATGGCATCTCAAACCATCTAAATGCTAATCATTCACCAGCCATATCCCCATTAATGCTTTGATCCGCCTTTGCTGCATTTATTTAAAATAAAACCGATGCTTCTGCTAGCATTAAAGAGTTTGCGAAGCATTCGCAAATCAAAATTAATTTTTGAGTGGCAATATACCGTCCAAATAAAAACACAGAGAGCAATAGAATATACCAGAATCACCGCAACTCCTATTGCGATTCAGTTTTTACTACTCCCATTGCATAAATCGGGGGCTGCACTTGTTTTGCTTCGACTTCATTCAACAATAAGAATTGCCCTGGCTTTGAAATCTACCAACCATTTCGTCATTGCATCTGCCAACTGTAGAATGCTTAAAGATTCTTTATATTTGGTGTTTGAATACAAGTGTACATAGTTCATTTTTCCAACTTTAATCGAAGCTTGAGTTAATTTAAAGGACTTAATTTTATGCCTTTCCTGCACAAATTTCCCACTCTTCAGATGTATATTATTCTGGTGGCTCTGATGCTTAGTTTGGATGTCAGTAATCTCGTAATATTCGGAAATGTCGACGACCGCTGGTCACTTGCGCAACTTTTTGTTGATTGATTCGATGCCAAGTTTATTTTTTCATTGGATCGATTTAAGTGCAGACCATCATCCCGTTTTAACGCTTAAAATCCTCACAGACGAATTTTACCAACAAGAATATTTTGGCTTTCAACGGTAAAGTCGCTCGAGCTATCCATTTACCGTGCATTCATTAATTGTGCCCTCGTCAATTAAAATGGTTTTTACTTCAGATTTCGCAAAAATTCTTCCAAAACACTTTAAAAGTCATTTACAGACCAAAACATGCGCTTGAAATAATCGTAAGTAGCATTTAAAATAAGAATACGAAGAATAGCTGAGGCGAACGTTCTATCAGTTATTCATTGCCTGGATCTGTAAACGGCAGTATTGCTTAACTTCAGTGCTTGCAAATCAATTAATCTGCTGTTTTAAACGTTTAAGTGCACACTCCACTTACATAATCATCCATTTGTGGATTCCACTTCCACTCTCCAATCGCCTTTCAGTCAACTTTCTGACACGTAACATACCACTGGCCCTGGTGCTGCGCAGCCTGGTGCCCTTCCTCGCCCGTCAGCTGGAGGGCGGTCGGTCACGGCACATTGCCTTTTACACCGCGTGGGTGGACAGCGTCTTCGTGGCTCATGCGAGCAGTCTGCGCAAAAGCCTTGCACAGGTCGCGCGGCCTCGACACACTGGCGCCAGCCAACTACACCTCCTCGGTCTGGAGGAGGCGAACGCTGAGGCCACTGAGGAGCGTCTGAAGCAACCAGGTGTGCTACTCGAACATGGAGAATTCAAGCTCTTTCAGGCGTCTCTTGTGAGACTACAAACTGCGCTGGAGGGGATCAAGGCCTCCCTCATCAATCGGTATGCGGAGTTACCTAGCTTTCAAGGTCCGGTCTGACATCCGAAAAATTGACGTTTTTATTCATTTGCATGTTTTTAGACTAGACGGTCTTGATGCTACCTGGTCCTACCTGTCACAGATTGGGAGACTTAGTCGTGGAAAGAAGGACTACCCTCTTCCATTGAAGGCGGTGGAATCGGATGAAGAGGATGAAAGCAAAATGGAGGCGTGTGAAGAATCACTGTCAATGGGTGCGCAGGTGGTAGATTTAGACGACCTCGACGAGACCATAGCGAGGGATAAGATGAAGGCGAAGAGGGCAAGCACTAAGCGGAAGATAGAAGTAATGAGGGAGAAAAAGTCGAAGAGGAAAAAAGAAAGGGAGGGAGCCACCATAGTCGTTTGATTATGGTTTTGCTGAAGAAGCACTGTATTATAAATCATAATCTTTTCTTAACGAAATATCGTATTATTGAATCGGGGAATTCTAGTATTTGGGTAATGCCTTACTCTGCTGAACTCAATATATCTTATTTACGGGTGTATGGGTTTGAATTTTGGTGGTTTGTAATATGTACTTGGGGGTAAACTGAAGGGTGCGTAGTTCCAGTTGCTAAACACCCATGCCAATTTACCAATTCGTGACCCAAGGAGATTTGTGAACGATCGTAGGAATGTGCGTGGGGTGGCGGTGTTACCACTTTCCAAAACTGGTATGACGTTTCAGCTTTGCACTGCGGTTTCTGATTAAGTTGTCGAAAGATTCCTTAGTGTATGAAGGATTTTAGGCTGTCTATGAGGCTTCCATCGATTTGAACAAGCTAGTTGGGGATGGAGGTTGCCCAAAAACTGCGTGTGAAACGTGGGAGCTAACATGGATTGCGGTATGCCAATCAGCGAACTCTGTAGTGTACGGGACATGTATGCTACTCCTTGCTTTATTCCACCTCTGCTTTCTCTGAAAGCGCTTGCCCGTCACTTCAAAATAAAGTTGCCTGCAGTTCTTTAGGGGAATTTATAGAATGTGATCTAATATTTGCACGTGATTAGTGAAAACTCCAAACCCCAAATGCGTGCTTCACACGGGAGACCTCACTAACCGAGGCTTCAACTATTTAGTTAGCTTCAAGAATGAGTGCTACTTCGGTGAAGGAGTAAGATGGTATTGCTATTTTCCCCCTGGATCGTAGCAGCTGCAGCATCTCTTTGCAATATCATTTTAGTATCAGATTAGAAATTTTCTGGTCTTAAAATTCAGCGTAGCTCACATCTTGATATTTGGAACAAATAGGCTGTTTGGGCCAAAATTAGCCGTCAAAACACCCCCAAAAAATCGTCCCAATCAACCCAAATGGCTAGTGTCTCTCCGTAACTAGGTTCAGAAGCCTCACAACTCACAATCATCAATGATACATCTGTGCACAATTAGTCTGCTCACTTCCATCCCACCGACCTTGCGACCAACTCACAATAAAAATCGTCGTCAACGGTGACAGTTCGTCACTTTTGACAAGCGTGCATATTCAACTTCCTCAAAAGACAATAGACTTCATAGAAGCGATAGGATTCGAAATTCCTCAAGAAGTAAAACCACCGTGGGGACCAGTTTTTTGAAGTCAATTGATTATTTGTACTGTTTGCTAGCCCATTTCAATGGAAATTTACCTGGAATAAAAGGCACCGTTAAGAAAAGAGAACAGTGTAAAATTAACTTTCTTCAGCAACTTACCGTCAAAATGGGTTCGAAAATGAGCATTTCAAGTCACCTCAAATTGGCAGAAGTAGTAGTTACTCGCAGTAATTTTATTGGTGAACTAGAAAATTGCCAGTGTTTGATTTTTCGGTTATGCTTAAATTGGCCTTTTCGTTACCCGAATTTAACAAAAAATGTAATATTTGCGCTGCGAAGCTCGTTTACTCAATTCGCCCTAGCGTCACATTTTAGTGAAACCTTTCAACACTAATTCTGAGCATGGAACTAGCAGATGATAGGTGATTTTTATCCCACAAAAGGATGGAAATAGCATGGTAAAATAGTTCTTATCTGATTAACAATCAGTAGCCTCAAAATTGTCTGCCTTTAGATGCTTGAATTTCACCAGATCCATAAAAGCTCTCTTCGGATATTTTGCATCTTGCAATTGAACACCACGGAAAGGCTGTATAGTCAAGTGAGCGTTGTGATATCTGTAAAAACGGGAGCGCATTTGGTTCAAATGGTGCAAAGGCAACAAATATGGGTTACTTTAAATGTTAATCAGTTGAGTTTTATAGCTACCTGAAGCTGATATCATGTTACAAATACGTAGACAGGATTATCACCACAAAGGGTCCTCTGGACATACCTTTTTACTACTTATTGAAAGAGTAATACGAAGTCGTTTTAAAATTTAGGAGTATAACTGAGAAAGACTGCTTAGTCTACTTGCACTACCAAACAACACATATCGCACCTTAGACAAATGAGAAGTAGCAGCCTACTTCATAAGTTCCTTGCAAGGCAATTTAATTAACATCTGGATTGGCAAATTTTCCATAGACTTAAATGCTATTATACGAATAAAATAGGAATGTTAGAGAAGAATTTATGCGAGGCCTGTTTTATGAAATCTGAGACCCCCTTGACTTGGAAGTTGCCCCGCAAATTTTGATTTCCCTTTGGTAATTCCTCTCGAATGCGGATGAGTAGGACTGTGTGACAGTCAGAAGTTCGCCTTTGCGTGTAGGAGGAGATCAGAAGGTCATGCCAACCAATCTGAATCAGAATTTTGAATACGTCTTCCGTTAATAGAAATAAGTAAGTAAACAAATCTAGCGCTGCTGAAAAATTGGGAAGATTCCCATATCTCGATTAGAATTATTAATTTACTTCTTGGCATCAAAAAAATTCTGCATAATTTATAAGCCGTTAACCTGTCACTGCATTGTGCATTCGAAAATATTTGAAAGATATCTTTTTCTTCTAAACCACAAAAAATGTTTCAAATTGTGACCATGAATTAATTTGTTGTTCATGCGCAGAAGTGGCACAAAACGTGTGTCATAGCAATCTTTTGTTCAACCCTTCCAAATTTCGCAGTTACAAAAAAGTGCTTAGAAAATTTACGACGAGAGTCAGTAAATTGATGATGAAACCTTAAAGGGGCATATAAAAAACTTACGTTGTTCGAAAAGACGGCGCAACATCTGATTTAAATACATAGATTTCTTTTACAGTTCCAACTTTCAAGTCAAGCTTCGTATCACATTAACCTCAATTTACTTGAACGTGTAGTGATTACTAATCATAGATACAAAGTGTTTTCCCTTTTATTAAATGATTGGAACTAATATTTTTCGATTTGGAAGTGTCAAACTGTACAGTCTGGAGTCTTTTAGAAGGGCTGGGGGGCTACTTATATGCCACAGGGCAGAAGTAGAATGACGGAACCTTGAGTGCTCGCATAACCAAAATAAAGAGTTTAACAAACATTTTGAGTATCACGAAGCTCATCTCTTCTTCCTGTCATCGTCCCTGGCGCTTTCCCAGGTCACTCTTTCGCGTCAGCCACTACGTAGTCAATACTTTTAAAATAAAAACAGTCACGTCTTGAAGCTAGCTGATTGCAATGGCACTGACTCACTTTGATGAATTCGATAGATCTGGAGTTTCGACCCTTTGAAAACTGCATTGGGGCAAAGGAGAATGTGTCGGCTATCACGTATGTCCATCACTAGTCATAAGCGCACCGGCCTAATAGTAGTCATTTAATGAAGGTTAAGGTTTAAAATAGTTTCCTAAGAATAGATTTTGCTTTTATGTCACCTTTTCACTTTGCCCTCGCTTCAGCGCTGACCAGGCATGTCTATCTGGATCCTACCCAACTCCGTAACTAGCTTTTTTAAATAGTTCACAACCACAGCTAGTGCCGCTTCATTTGTTAATGGTCCTCTCACAGAACACGAGACTGGACTAGGTGTCTGAAGTTAGATACCACTTTCAACCGCCCTGTTAAAGGCCGTCATAGATTCTCCCATCCATAGCATATGCTCTTATTCCGTCACATTAAGAATCAGCGGTCAGGAATGTAGATCAGGGTAGTTGTCTTTTAGGACAGGGTTCACCTTTTGCTTTTAGTAGGGCTGAGAGGCTATTGACATGGTCCGGAGGCCATGCCGCCGAGCGGAAGTGCAATTGCGGAGACTTAAATGGCCGCTTTACCAAAAAAGAGTCGAGTAAACAACCCATGCATTACATAAGCATCCTTTCTTTATGCCAGAAGGTAACTGTCTGAAACTCAGTATTTAAAAAGCATCAAGGGTTTGGTACAACCCATTGAAAGAGACAATCGTATAAAGTATAAAATTGTTAAATACGAGCTTTTTCCAGGTAGGAAGCAACACAGGTTTTAAAAGAGCACATCGAAGCTGGATGAAAATGTGTATGTCATAAGTTGTATTAATTTAATATAAAATTTGCCTTCACCCTTGTTTTGCACGAAAATTTTTGCAGTTTGTCATCACAGTGACCTGCATGTGGCACCACTTTTGTCATGTTAAAGATTTGACCAATCAACAACGTAACACCCGTTTTATTCCTTCAGCTAACTTGCCTCAAGGTCACTTACCCAAGATTGGTAAGGCAAATGTTTCGTCTAATTTACAATAGATAAAATTTTGCCGAAACAGGAGCAAACAACTTTACCGTTAATAGGTAAATATAAATTTAAAACGGGCCATCGCTTGACTAGGACCCATCTATGTTAAGCCTTAATTTGCAATAATCTAGCAATAATTTTGGCAGTTCCTGGGGGATGTTAATTCAGAACTTCTCTTGTGTATATAAAATTCTTGAAATATTCCGAGGTATAACAATGAAGTAGTGTAAGTAGGCATTCTAAAGTTAAACAGAAATATCGAACCAGTAACAAACTGCTATCGAGGTGATCTACCATCAGACAATCGTTCTTTTCAATATATTGCTTGCTTAGCACGACTAGATGAAACTTAGCGGGTAAGTTTCGTTGCTTAATTTCTACTTATTGCAGAACCTCAAATGAGAGCTGGATATACTCTGAGCACGACTATTCGCTAGTCGCTCATATCTAATGCCATTAATTCTGGACAGGAACGTTGGAGGCTGAATAAGCGCAGCATTACTTAAAAATTTACCTAATCTCTGCTTCGAGAATCAAATATGACACCAATTACCGAAGCCTTTTTGGAATGATTGTAGATGGCAATAAAGGGTGACTGTAATTGTGTGTAAAAGGCGCATTTCGATTTATGTCTTGTTTAGTATTAAAGTGTTTTGCTTCATAAACTTGGGCATAAACGCATCTAGAGTAGGAGAGAAAATGGCCTCTGACACAGTTATGGCTATGATTTCTGTAAACCATTTCTCTTCTACAAATTACATATGTGCCACAAATAATAAATATCAACATTAGAACAGCATGGCCAATAAATGACTAATAACGAAGAAGATTGCAAACAAATCAACCATGTTACTCTGATTGAGAAATAAAAAGGAAGGTAAGATGAAAAATTGTGGATTTTTCATCAGAAATTCAGAACAACATATTTTGAAACCTTACAATAATTTACTCATGCTGTGTTCCAATTGCTAGCACATTTTACGAGGCTATTTTAGTCAGGTTTTCGAACACAAATAATTTTGAAATATTAAGCGCATATAACCCACTTGAAGCATGCAAATCACTTTCGAATTCATTCAAAATATAATAAAATATTTAGCTGATGATACACATTGGTTCTAAAACAAGATGTGAAATAAAACTAGATGTCCTGAAGCTTGTGGTGATGACGCAAATTCCTAAACAGCTTTGAATCGCTAAACAAAGGTTTGTCATAAACAGACCCTAACAGAAATGCAAAACCTGAAAATAATAGATGTTTTGCTTCAGTAGAGCATTAAATCGCGTAATTTGGAACGACTTTGAATACATAGTGGTGGAGAGTCTGCATGAAATAGGGATAACAACTCATTGGGAGCATTTCTATCCTTACTTTTACCACTTCACCGGTGTGTTCTTTGCTAGCCTTTGTCGGTGCAAAAAATGAGACAATGGAGCAGTTGGAAAGAATTATTCGAAAAGAGAGTTCCAAATGTAAAAGCCTGTTTAATGCAGGACTCTGGAGTGACCTGTGAATTGAAAGTTCACACGGCTACTGCAATGTCCTGATTATTAGTTTGGATCTTTGTTTTAACTTTAAAAACAAATAATGTTTCATTTCTGCACTTCAGCTGGGCTGCATAGTCTCTGGGCCATGCCGAAGTCCCTCAACTCTTCTATACACTGGCAATATATATACCTCGTCCTAGTATGCCTCCCTTTGTCTTCAGGGAAGTCTCGTAGAGCTACACCACATCCATGAAATCATTAAATATCCTTCATTAGCCGAAATCTCAAAGAAATCATTATTTGGTCAATTAAATTTTATAAAGTATACATCACCAATATTTCATTATCGTCCACACCCTGTACTGTTAAAAACCAGCTTTTACATTACCACTGCACTTTACTTTAGAAAAAATATTCTAATAAGTATATCTAGTTGGGCTTTTGAGGAAATACTGCGCGGCCTTATGGATGATTGTAATATTTCTGTATGGGACACTTTACCTACCTTAAAAGCATTTATGTTGGTCGGTAATTCGGCAATGTTCGAAAATCGCCTTAGTAATTTATTGCATATTAACCTTTATAATCAAAGGGAGTTTCCCTTTAGGTATATTAGCTGTAGTGCATAACATTTAAGGACAGCAAAAGACAAGAATTAATACAGACCATAAATACTTCGTTAAGTCAGCTGATAAACTACTTTAGTTATAAATCTAGTAGATTATAAATAATTTCAACACTTCTTGATTAAACCGTATAAGCTTTTCAAACTTCTGTAACTTTTGATTTACCCTGAAAACATAATGAAGCTCTCCATCACGGGAAACGGTTTATTGTGCTGATGTGGAACTGGCTAGGAGGCCATTACCAGTTGTTTGTACGCCATGGTACCCAAATGATGCCGAGGGATCGGGAATCTAGTAAAGCCATAAATAAACTATTTTATTACACGGGTTTTAATACACAAGACTACAAAAATATGCCTAACATATCCTTAATATAACGTAGTTTTATGGAAGCAGTCTACATTGAATGTTGAAATTATTTTAATGTCGTAGCGCATCTCATCGCTGAACATTAAGTGATTGAAAATGCTTAAATGATATTAGTAGTCGACGATCAAGAATTAAAATGCCAGTGCACAGAAGCAAAAAGCCAATTCAGCAGTAAACTCTAGAATTGAGATGATTATTATAGGTAGTTTATAGTTATTTACTCCCTAGGTATTATTCGGCAAAGAAAATGACAATTATTTGATCTATAGCCAATCATTATTTCAGTCCTCAGGAAAGTTACAAAATTTTTGACACAACGTAGAAGTTGCAATTGCAGTAAGTAATTTAGTATGTACAATGGAGGCCTGTAAAGTTGATGTGGGCACCTTTTAAAAAGGGGAACCGGTCGCATACGCAAGGAGTTCCTTTAAAAATGCAGCTGTGCAAAAACCGAGTTCCGAGCCATTGTAAGAGCTGATTAAATTAACAATGGTAGCAATTAGTAGTTTACCTAAATAGGTTATCCACTATTTGGTTTTAAAGCTAATCCATTCGGAAGATACTTTCAATAGGGGTAGTCAAATGGCCTTGAGTAGGCAACCCTGGCTATCAGGTTGCTTCATAGGCAGGTATAAGTAGAATGTTACATAAAATATAAACTGTATTAAGCAACCTGTAGAGAGGGTGTTAAAGTCAAAGTAAGAAAACGAGAGATTTGGAATACATCAAATTGCCTAACTACCGCAATAGAAAGTGATAAAATTGCCTGGGTTTTCCAAAAAGCCAATTTTTATTACTGAAGCACCAACTGACTCAAATATGTAGTGTCAATGGAATTAGTAAGTAGTGACATAACGCCCTACTTAGAACTGAAAGTGGGATAAATTTTTGTTCCACGCATGAAATTTGCCCCATTCTAGTTCAAATCAGCATGAACTCAATAATTTGACTTGATGTCACATTGATGCATACTTGCCGCTCATCTTTCCTGATTCGGCTACGACAAGGGTGTCATGGTTTCTTGATGCTATCACATGTGCTGATGTCACCTAGTTCTTTTGCAGTTAATAGCAAACATACTCTCAGAGTGACGCTTTCCATTACACCGTCAAAGATGAAGCGGATGCAATAACGGTGGCAAAAGTACGTGCAGCCACACCGATTTATCATGGGATGGAGATATCAAGTGTGGATGCAAAACTCGTAGAGATTCACAAAGTTCAAAGTTCACTAACCATCCCTATTAAGTAATGCATAAATGTTAGTAAACACGAAAGACCAGGTTAAAAAGATCAAACTAATTCTAACAGAATCGTTAAAGTGTTACAAGTCCTTGATCATATTGGGAGAAGGTATAGGCCCTGTGTGGTGTAGTTTATTAGGTCTTAGAACTTCCGACACAGAAATTTTTCACACTAAAACAGCTTAAAATTGTATTCAGTGCAAAACAGAAGGAAATCTTATGGCCGTGATTGTGCTTTTAAGGTACCAAAACCACATTTTTAAGCTTCTTCTTTTCGTGCGCTTTATAGAAGTAATATTCCTTTGAGGTTGCTTAGTAACATTTACACACTTAGACTTTACTGAACTAATTGCAAAATAATTCAATTAAAATTAATAATAAATCCATATTCTACTCATTATAGAATAGTTAATTTTGCTTTTACAAATTTTGCTCAAGGAAATATTCATAAAGCTGTTCTGTTGAAGTTCACAGATCATTTTCGTTTTATTAATATTAATTACTTTACTGCAAATTAGACCAGTATCAATATTTGAAAGTTGTGTTCTCATTCAAAAAAGCATATAAAACTTGCAGATCATTAGATTTGCACACAGATACCTATTTCCTTCAGTTTTCTTCAGTCCTCGGTTTTAATCCCTCTATCAAATTTACTACTAAGTGGTTTAGTAGTATTTTTGAGCTTAGTTGCTACAGGATTTTGCAAACCCCATAATGTAGACCAATTGACCACTTTTTGACGAAGAAACTGATTGTCTGATCATAAAATACGCTTAGCCACTAAATCAAGTCTTAGGTGCCTTACGTGAACTGTTATAAAAAACCGGATGAATAAACAGAGATAATGAAAGCATGAAATTAAAACATTACTGGCATGGTAGTAGTTCTGATGCCTAAATTTGTTAGATTAGTTTTTAGAGAAACTTTTCGACAGGAGTACCTATCCACGTGGCCGATCAGTATAGCAGCAAATGTACTTATGGGTGAAGTAAAATAATTGAATGAATAAGGACTTGATTTCTGGTTAACAAAAAAACAGCCGTAGAATAGGTTATAGAGGAATCTGAATAAATATTAAACCTGCCCATACCTTTAGTCAGGACAGCCCTATGCTCGGTAAGTGTGCCAGATGGCAGCCAGATCATACGCCAACATTTCGAAAACACAGGAATTCGGATGCTTGTCACTGACATTTAGTTTGTTTTCCTGAAGACGGTAACGAAAAACTGTCATGGTGATGAGGAGACTGTAATGCGAAAAGCAATGCATTTTCTTAGTTAATAAAGGTTTGAGGAATTTAAACGACCTATTATTTAGATGCATCGGCTTAATTGATTTCGACTGTTGCTGTTTAAAGTAGAAGAATCGAAGTGAAAAAAACTAAATTATATAAAAGTGATAAACGCTTATGAGAAAACGGAGTAAATTATTGTAAAGTGGCCAATCAAAAAGCACAACTAGGAAGTCTCAGCCCTCCAAGAACGTGCATTGCTTTGATTCTGAGGTCCATTAAAATAATGGAGAGCATAAACAAAGGGATCTCAAGCATGCCCCGGTAAATTTTATTGCGCACAATTCTTTCCAGAAGCTAGTATTTACATTTTCCAGCAGTGCATTGTGGAATCAGATTTTGATACATTTAAATGCAGCAAAGTTGAGATCAATTCAGTCGCTTGTGCAGAAATCCCTTACTTGAATAAATGAGCTAATCCAACAATGGAAGGTGGAATCTTACACTACAAAAAGCGTATTCAGTCACCGTCATCCTATCTACAATCGTTCGGCTATAAGATCATATAAATCTAAATTTTAAAAAAGTTGGAAGTATTAAGGACGAGAGAATAAAGGCACTGGGACGTTTCTTTACATTGCTGAAATGTCTAGCAAAATAGTTTTGGATAGTTCCTTAAGCCTCAAAAGGAAGACTGAACTTATTGCACTAGTTTTATTAATGAGCGTTTAATTAAAGCCCCGATTTCAACGAACTAGGAAACAAATAACATGACAGGCTCAACAATGAATAAAATGGTCACTAAGGCAGGTTATAAGGGGTTTTAAGCACTGTGAATTATCTAATTAGTAAATAATAAATTGATAAACAAAGTGAGATGACTTGGAAGTTTGAATTCCCAAAGCAAACAGGCTCATTGACATCAGTTTTAGCCAAAGTATAACAAAAATAGAAAATGACTGAAAAGTTGGTAGAAAATGTAAGAAAGAGTACTGGTGGTATGTTCACTTATGTCTATACTTTATAATGCATGTGACTAAGCAGAGGTGTGTATTTTACAATTTCTCAAGGGCTACAGCAAGTCGTTTTGGCGGGCTTTGCCAAAGAACTACACGACCATCCTTCGTCACCTGGTATACTGCATTTACCACATCATGGTGCAGTAATATTGAAACACCCTCGAATATCTAATCACTTTGATCGGGAGAAGTAGCGATTATTAGTTAACTTTACAGTATTAAATTATAGAGCATTCTGGCCAAAAAACCGATACAAAAGGAAGTAGTTATCAGGTCGATATTCTGCAATTTCTACCTCAAATGGGCTATAGTGATACCCCAATCAGTATTTGACTTTTTGGGCTATAATTAGGGTATGGGCATTGGTCAGTGGAACTCTTCTAAATTGTGCTTGAATCAAATACTAACTTTCTAAAATACACTGCTTTTATCGGCTTAATGAAAGAATCAACCAAAAATGTTCAATTCAAATTGACACCCAAAGTTGTTGTGGGAAATATTTGCCTTTTTAAACAGCAATTTCCCACTGAAATGGATAATTTGATAACCTGGAATTCCTTATGATTGAATAAAGGTAATGGCAATGCTTTCCACAGAACTATAAAAGCAGATGCCTAAAGCAAACTAAATCATTCATGTTAGGACTTACTAGTGAAAGTAAAGGAATTTATCACTTCTAAAACGGAAATTTAATATATCTGATGCTCACAGGTGTTGCCTTTGAAAAGCAAAACGAGAAATGGAGTAGTAAAAGTGGGCAATCTAATGTATGTAACCTTGCTTATAAAGTGATATTTGGCATCCATTTTCGAAGATCATATACTCATGACACTGACAAGTGACAAGCCACAAGTTAGTTAGTGTTGCCCGTTACCACTTGTTTTGATTCCTTAAATGGATAGACATTTAGTTTGAACGATATACTGACCATTGTAAGTGGATGAATAAGAGATGCTGAACAATTTGTCAATGGCGTTGTTTCCCCCGCACCAAAACACTTATGCGATGCGAGTGATAAACTTTTGCAAAAATACGAAAATTAGTTCTGGTCGATGTTGAACTGATACATCTGTCGAAATTATAACCCAAGTCACATATGATAATTAAGACACTGGTGAAGCGCCTTACATCCATTTTCGTCTATAAAGAATTAGTTTTCACAATCAGTAGAATTTCGCCTAATTACTCAATGCATTACGGCTAATAATTATGATGTATTCAATTATATTTTATACAAAGAAGTTATCTGCTCTCTTTTGACAAAGAGAATTGGTAGTCTAGGGATGTCAAAGAGTCAAAGGCAATGCCAAGTTCTGCTAACAATTGATAGAGAACGGCCCTTCAACAGATTTACAAAAACAAATCCAGGTGGATAATCGGTTTGGAGATGGAATAAATTTATAATGCAACTCATGCATTATTGACTTCGCTACTCATGTACGGGTTGTGTTTCATTTCTTAAACTCATCATTAAAAAATGGTAATATGAATTAAACTCTAAAATTAAGGCATTTTCCAAGTAGGCATCATTGGCATCCTTACTTCCAAGTTACGCATGTACCTGCCGCTTCTCACCTAAAAGTTGCATTCCAACAAACACATCCTACGTAATTATAAGACCGATCATCCGCATAGTGAAAAGCAGATGCAGGCAAGGCATGTCCCTTGCTCGACCCTTTATAAAACTCATTGATGAAACTACTTTATCATTGTTCTACGTAACAGAATAAGTGCTAATAGCCTGTGTTTAAATTTTCAAAACAATGAGCAAAGTCTATAATTTTGCAAGTTTTTGGAACACTAGTATGTGGAGGATGAATGCAGACAGTACTGGCGTGTTGTAATGTGATTGTACTAGCATGGTAATGGTGTACCTTCAATTTATCGTACGTAAGCGAGTCAGGTGGTGCAGATTCATCGGTAATCTAGGTAGTGAAATATCTAAAAATAGCACAATTACTTAGTGACACTTTAACAAGGTTTCAAAATTAGTAGGATAAGCTTAATTGCCGTTAAAATATTAATATGGCTTTGTCTAAAATGGAACGGTAATATTTGCCCATTTAGGCAAATAAGCTATATCTCAATAGTTTCAGTGTACAGTATTTGCCCACTCATGTTACTTGACTTAATCAAAACTATTGAAAAGCATAAGTTGTATGGAAAATATTGCGAGGATCATTAAGGCCAGGCTATTTGTGATGCAAAATTATTTTATATTCTTTAAGAAAACCTCACAAATGCTTTTGAGTCCTTTCATGTGATTCGACACCAGTAAACGTAACTAAAGAAGCTATTTGGTCTTAACTGATTAGCTTATTTCTATTAAGTAATAAAATTTATGATAGTATCCACCAATGCTTATTTTCACAGTAAGAGCGCTCGGAATTTCTATGCTTTACAACAAAATAGCATTTGCTGCCTGATTTCGTCCTGTGTGCAGAATAGGTAGACAATTTTCGAATAGGTTTTGTGAAATTTTGCACTTTTATTCCATTTGCAGTCAGGGCATTCCATCACAGCGAAATAGCAATGCCACCCATTGATTGGTCTCGCGAGATACTGTGCTCGCGTGTTCCAGCTCATAAATGCAATCTTGACGATTATCAATGAACTCACTTTTCCCCATGAGGTGTTACACATTATGTATTTTGAATTCCAATATGCAGGTTTGAAAAACGCTAATTTCCTAGTGAAATATCGCAGAATCTACCTAAAAAGTATTTTGAAACAATGATATTTAAAAAAGTTACAAGATCTGTTGATGCTGAATGAATCTTGGGTACTAAAGAAACGTTTGTGCATAAATTGCGTTAACAGGTTCCTTTATATTTAAAAGTTTGGTAGTTATTAGTACTTATCAAAGTTTACAATTCTTATTAGGCGATTTTATTGTACAAAGCTTTGGGCTTTGATTCTGGCAAAATAAGTTGATGGAGTGGTCCTAGCAAAGTGTAAACAGTGTAGTGCAAATCTCGTTTTCTTTCAGTAAATTCTTAAAACATTTTACATTTATGCAAACTATACGCCTGAGTCATACAAAATACACTTCAGACAACCAAGTTCTTGATTACATCCACATCTCCTCCTTCAGAAATTTCAGTAGAGATATCCTGACTACACTTTTTAAATACCATAGTCCATTTTGAGTCCTCAGAATCACAAATATTAAAGTAGTGGGATGAGGCCCTCTCTCTATCGTATGCTCCAATACCAAAACAATCCGTAGCCACTTAGGGAGACCCTGATGACTATTCTGCGTGCGTTGAAGGACATTTATGTTAGTACGTCTTTGAGCTGTGATTGGTCAAGAGGGAGGGTTTGCAAACCGTCTCATTGGCTGGTGTGATAAGACGAAAGTGTGGGTCATGGTTAGGCGGGTACGTGAATGTCTGGGGAAGGAAGAGAGGGGAATAGAGGGCGCATAGATTTGCACACAAGCGCATACTCCCTCACACAAACACAGATACGAACACTCCAAAGCACGGAAATGACACTTCGGCGCCTGACCCCGGAGTCTAGCTGACGACGTTAAGTTAGATACAGGCATGAAACGTATGATTGAGAAGAGTCTGCGGCAGCAGCGAATTCAACAAAGCCAGTTGAATCAGCAACGAAGGGGAACGCTTGAAAAGATGACCAGCGTTATCAGTGAAGAATCTAGGGAAACGGATGACCTTGGCAGGTATTCTGGGTATGTATGAGGAACTTCACCCGTACTTTAACCTTGAAGGTTTATCCACTTTATTTTCATGTTAAATAGCAACATTTAGGAATATTTATTTTTTTTCTTCCACAGTACTTTTAAAATTTTATGTGGAAGGCCAGCAAAACATATTGGGTCATTTTAATGCTGAAAGTTCCATTGCTTTTGGGGTATTTTTAACCCCATCGGACTTTTAATGGTTCCTTTTCCGAAGTATTTGGTTCATTAATGGACTTGACACATTTGCTGGTTAATAATAATTTTCAAATAATCTGATAAGTTACGCAAAATGAGAAAATAGAGGTAAATTAAAAGCTTTAGTATATATTATGGACCATTTTTTGTGTCATCGCATAATTTAAATCATAGGTACGAAGACAATGGAAAATTTGAGTGTCATTTCAAAAAATATTATTAAGTAGCCTTAACCAACAATACCAAGTTCAAAAAACTAAAAATACGATGTGTACTTACCTATAAAGCGGACCGGACAATATCTAGAGACCTTTGAATTTTCGTATTTCTTTAACATTCATAGTTGATAGTGGATGGTGTAGGTTTCAAAGTATGACAGTTTCCTATAAGCATTAAGCATAACTCAATGCTTTCCACTACCAAATTTTGTTAAAAGAGACGACAATCACTGCCAGTGTCACGGTCTCGAAGGCGCCGTTTTGACTGTCAGTTGAACGCCAGTGTTAGAAGCAAAGTACCATTAGGACTAAATTTTTTTAATTTAAAGAATGTTAATTTGAGTTCTGCCTTTAGCATAAGCACTGCAACATTCACAGGGCATTCGTTCTAAATTATGAGGCAAACTATTCGCTCAGGAAAAAATATTTTAAAAGGGTTCTTGATTAGATCCTACTTAAAAGCGACCAAAATCAATAAGTATTTTATCCATTTCTATTCACAACCTAAATTTAACCCTTGCAGAAGGTGACAAATTAGATTTATTGGTCTTAAAATAAGCTGCTTTAGAGAAAAATATGCACCTCATTAAAAATCACAGTTGTATGACTATCTGCATCTTCTGCAACCTATGTAAAGTAGAAAAAGGTAGAGTATTTTTAAATTTTTAGTAGACAAAACTGCTTGTGAATGTCTTTCCTAACAGAAATAAAATTTCATGCAATATTAGGAGGTTCTAAATAATTATTTCTATATAGGCTTGGTGGCCTAATCACGTCTTTCAGGGAAGCCTCCTTTATCCTGTAAATAATAAATTTTAGCATCAAGGAAATAATGTTACCAATGTCAACGGTGTTACCAGGGGCTTCAAATTTGTTAGAGAATAATGTGTACCGGCTATGAGTTAAAATGATGACCCAATTCCTCCTCAAATGAACCATTACTTGACAAAAGTCTGATACGAAATGCTTTTGTGTTTTTTAAAGCCATTTAGACAGACATTAAACTTTTCATAAACCAGCAGTTAAAAGTAAGAATTATTCATAGGTAAACTGTTCCACATCCACACAATGGTATATAGGGACCTCTCAAAGTAGCGTGATTTGGAATTATTTTATTTTGCAGGTACAATTATGAGCTGGACTGGGCTAACAGCAAGACCTTTATAAAGCAACTCGCCAAAGACAACATAGATCCCTCCCTCTTGAATGAAGAACTTCAACGGCATGCAGAAAGTAGGCGACGTCAAAGGTGAATATTTTTTTGTCAATCGTGTATTTGCATCGGTTAAACCTGATAAAAATGCAGGGTTGGGTCTATTTGGAATTCTTTTATTTAAAAATCATCTGAAGCATAAAAAGTGTCCCAATTAACAATGCTAAAAGTTGAAGTATACTAAATATTCTCTTATAAAATACCGATAAACAAATATCTACGTTATTTAGTAGACCTGAAATAGAGCCTTAAATCTTTGAAGATTTGGGACATAAAATGGAGAAAAGATATCAAGGTACTAGGATTTCAATTCAATAATGTCAACATTATCCCAAGGAGGAGGTCTTAGCTGTGATTTTTCGCAAGGATCCTTCTGTTTAAAGAAATCTACGGTAAATTACTATAACATATGATACGGTTAAGCAAAATACATTAATTATCTTGAGTGTCGCCATGCATTTCTACAGACATCAGTGATGCACTGAATTGTTTGCTAAAAATCACCTAAAATTGCTCCATAATTGAAGGAGCAAGCTAAAAACGTGTTTTGACAAATCAAATTTAAACGAATTGAGAGTGTTGGCACTGATGCTGTGCTGAAGATTCGTGTTCAATTGTCTGAAGCCGACGTGGTGACTGAATAAGGTGATTGTAGAGAAGAAATTCACTAAATATAAAAAGCAGATGGATAAGGAGGAAACCGACAGCTTGGCGGTTCATAGTATTAACTTCAAAGAAGGCGAGCTATGGGCGGTTCACGCCTACTTATTTATGTATTTTTCTGACATTCTACCTTAAAGCAACATGATATAGAACAAGGTGCAAAAACAAATTTAAAAAAATCCTTAACTGCCAATCGTGAATCTCTACAAAGTCTCAAAAAGTGCTTCAGTTTTAGACATAAAAACAATCTATTATTGGTTTTGAAGTGATATTTTGGTGGGCCTACCCCTGAGAAATAATACTTACAGCGTACTATACATTGGCTTTTTTTGTTGACCCAGTTGAGCTTGCATTGATTGGTATTGCTAAAATTTAATACTGAAAACGCGGCTTAAACTATCTATAGCAAAAGATATCAGGAGCATTTGCACCTGTGGCTACAAAGCAATGCGGTTTAAAGATGTAATTTTCAAATGATGCGATGAGATGCAACTGCAAATCCCATAATTTTTCAGGAACGGTGATTGCAAGCCCAAGCGTTTAAAGATTTAATGTGTTCACCAAAAGGTTGGAACAGCGCACCAATCAGGTCACTTAAATTGTAAGCAACTGGAATATACCAACAAATTTCCAACATGTGATTAAATTTGCTAATGATAAACTAGTAGCACTATGGTAAAACACAAAAACGCGGAACTCGCGATGTACGAAAATCTATTCCCACAAATTGTGGTGACTGAAACTTAGCAGATACCCTGTTCTGATTTGGAAAATGATTGGAAAATTTGTATAAACTGAGTATTTTAGTTCAAATTGGCCTAAAGTGGTAATGCTTGTTAATTTGATTTTCCTTTTTAGCTGGCGAACACGATGCCTAGGCCGTTTTCGCAGTAACGCTGCTCAAATTCTCTTGTGTCTTCTTGTGCTCATTGACTCAGGAATCGTTATTTCTGAAATTATTTTGGAAATTCGGTCCATCCAAAGTGAGCTGATTTAGTGTATCAAGGATGCTTGATTACAAAAAAGTTCGTTTTTGAGCAATCCCATGCAATCGCAAATGTAAATGAACTGTCATTAGAACCTTTTTGGGAATGGGGAGTAAATTTTCAAGTTAGGAAAATAAGATTTGTACAATGCTTATTTTGATAGTGTTTTGTGTGAAAAATTAATCCGCTTTTGGGATGTGACGAACACGCATTATCGCTTGCTCCAAACTGATAAAAATGATGATCACCCATGGAAAAGAATCTTATTAAGCCTCATTTCAAATGCCCTCTGACTGACTGTTGAAGGCAGAAGATTCAGACCAGGCATAACTGATTTTTTCTGTAAATGCCATTTATGAAAGTGCTTGGAAGAACTACTGGTACATTATCGAACTCCAATGCTTTTGAGGTAGAGGCATCAAAGTGTTTAATTAATTACTAAACTGCATTTGAAATTTTTCCCATTCTAATGGTTAGATTTTTATTAAACATAGTGCTAATGCATGCTCTATGAAATACCTGCAAAGAAAATGGGCGCAATGATCATATCTCATTAATATCAAGCTAATGGCGTGGTCAAAATACCATCTTTTGAGGAAACCTCCATTTCATTTAATTCATTTGGGCTTTTTAAATACCCATTAAAAATTAGACTTTTCCCCATTGGTTTTTACCAATATCCTTCTAATCACCAAATGACGTTTAATTTTTAAAAAATCCTTTTAATTTTATTTTACTAAGTGCTCTCTTGCTCTCTAACAAGTTAAACATTTCGAATGTAATGGATGATACAAAATAAAGCCGGGCTTTCCGGACAGTACCTCTTGTTAACATAGCTCCATAGTACTTTTACCATTTTCGGCAAAGCCTGCGGTTGCCTTATAAAATGAGAACACGAATAAGTTATCTGATTTTAATTATTCATGCAGCTGTTATGAATTCACACATAAGGACGTAGCTAACTAATCCCATGAGATGCTGCACAAACGCACAGCACTAACAGAGCTCGCACAAACTACAAAGCATACAATAAAGAAGAATAAGTAAATTAACCTGATCGCAGCACAGGTCCACGTGTAAACCAATTTCACCCTACAGTCGGCGGCGCCGTTAGGCAAAACGTATTATCTCTCATTACATTTATATAAATTTGTTTTCCCCTGATTGTATTGTGCTGAGAGTTTTTAAAAAAGGACCGTAATATGCATTTAATATGAGAGCTATTTTACTTCAATAACCATTTAGTATTTCCTAATGACTGTAAAATAACTGCTAAATGTTGGGGCCAGTTTACGCGACCATTGCGTGCGGAGTACTCACTGACCTCTCGTAACCAAATGTTCATTAGAATGTGGGGATTCCATAAAATTCACGGCATTCTCACCCATAATATCAGTGTAAAATTTTGATTCCTAAAATGATTTTACATCGGACTTTTGCAAAGACAGGTTTTGAATCAGTTAGAGTAGAAGGGATTTTCAAACTGCCAATTCATCTATCAAACTGTAGGATTAATTTATCAAATGTTAATCAGTCGGTTCACGATTATCATATTCCACGTTTCCAACCCTCAGAAGCTGTCTGTTTGCAAGGAAAAGTGAATAGGGCAAAGTAAGTAATATGTGCAATACATTTTATGGCTGCAATAAAATTACTAGACATCCGCAACTGAGAGCCTAGTGGATATCGAACCTGAAATACCGTTATATGCTAAACTAGGCCCCACGTACTTCCCTTGTACAGCAGAAGAAGCAAATACTAAAGGTCTACTTTTTCACGAGTAAAAGTCCAAACCCATATTAGGAGACGGCTTTACTTAACATTGAGCGTTTTCAAGATAGCGATTTGCTCGTGCACAGGCATAGCCTTGGGTGATCCTCGAATTGATGTACTAGTGTTTCTGTTGATATAATCGTGCAATTTATAAGATGAATCGCATAAGTTATTTTGTTACTAATGTTTTAATGAATGTCTAGCGATTGCGTTGTATCATGATGATTCAGAGGGACTTTTGTATTTTGCAAAATATTCGAATTTCCGTAGCCAGTGGTTTTTAAATGAATAGTTGGCCTCTTGAATTTCATCCGGGTGATGCTTTGATCTCCATCCAGTTTCATAGAACCTTTCCATCAAACATGAACAGTAAACGCAAATTCAAGCAGCCTAAAATAAGTTTGCTGACTGTATGAAATCACCCAACTATTGTTCTACTAGTTTTACTAGTACATTTAACGATTCAAAGAAATAAAAGGATCTACCTAAATGCTACACAGAAAATAGTAAAAAAGACTAACTCAAATCTAAGCATAAAGAGGGTACCTTTCTGTTGTATGATAACAAACATGAGAATTTCTACTCACAATAAAAAATGCATTCGTATGCATGATTTAGTGTATTTTTCATACTTATTTGCTTAGCCACCTAACTTTGTGCAGAAAATCGCAAAATCAAGGTGAATTGCACAAGAAATGCATGAATCGGAGAGTTGTTTAGGTGGCCTTTTAAGACAGCACCCACCAATGGCCAAGATGCAGACGTGTAACAGATGATTTGATTTGTTGTTAATATAAAAAACCAACTAGTGGAAATTAAATATGCTTACTCTAAGAATGTCAATTCTTGAGTTCCAAAATGAAACTTTTGGGATTTCATGACGAAATTGAGGCATAAAGTCGAACATGATGCATTTTGACTGCCAGGTTATCGAAATGATTTAGTGTTTTATGTTTATATGCTCTCCAGCTATAGGTATTATGCCCGTCTCACATAAATAAACCAGCATTTTTTACTTTTCTATAGACCCCAATTTCTTCCATTCTGATATATTGGCAGCATGGATGCTCTGACGGATTTAACATATATCTTAAGTCGTAATCATTAACTGAACTTTTTTAGTTTATATAAAGACGCTTATTCAAACAATAATGTTATGTTTGTGGCCTCACCTTGTTAATTGAAATTCGCACGCCCTCAAGATGAATGCTTCAATATCGTAAAAGGCACGCAATCACAAGAATAATAAAACGAATGACCCAATCAAAAGTTACTAATAGTCATCATAAAAGTGCATTCACGCAAGAAAACATTCTTTCCAACCCATTCATAACAATTGAAAATGATGCGCTAGATCCTGGTAATTAATATACACTTTTATCCATAACTCGAAAATATTCTCTTGTCATCAGTGGAGATCAGAGCTTAGCTTCAAGGCACTAACCAATACAGTATGGCCTCCTTTTAGATTATAAAGAACTTTTCGACATTCACGCTCAACACCTTACTTATCTGATGGCAACGCACAATTTCCGGTGGACAGGTTCGTGGTGCTCCTCCACCGGGATCGCGTCGGACAATGTTTACAGCGACCGCCATACTCAGCGCATTCACACCACTCAGAGCCACTACCAGGCCGTTTTTCCTTTGGGCAGCACCGCCTCCATGGATGAGCACCAATTGGCTGTTCTCGGCGACTTTATTCAATGCTGGCAGACCTACGTGAATTCCGCGACCAGGATACAGGAAAACGGTAGCTGTGATTCCTATGGGAAATGGAGGGCTGCTGAAGCTGATCGTTACGATCTTGTTGGAATTGTAACTTAACTCCAATTTTCAAATCGAAAGGAAAATGAGATTGTTAAATACTTGCTCAAACTTGGTGATATATGTACCTCAATAGTTATGGAGCAGAAAAGCTATTAGTGAATAGAGAGAATGGCTCAAAGCGAAAAGAAATTGAGTAAGTTTAAAGTGTCTTATTTCGTAGAGTTTCATTAATGCTTACAAAGAAATGGCAGTTATTTGAATACGTATGAGTTGATCCTACCAGAGTTGTATTTTAATCACAAAAAGAATTAAATAACTCCCAATAAGTTGGAATAGATGCCATGGGGGTACTTCTCTCCTAATCATAAAAAGAGTTACCATTAATAAACTATTTTGCTCAAAATAAGGGATTCTTGGTTTCTAAAAAGTTCCAGATTTTTAAGTTTACGGAAAGTTAGACTATATAGAACTCTGGTTTTGTAACTCCCAGACTCGAAATTTCAAAGAAAAGTTATTTATTTTCCTAAAAACTTTTAAACAATACAGCTAAACAGTACGCAGACTGGAAACACAATGTGATTTTAGAAGAGTGCTAGTAAAGGTAGCAGCATTAAGTTGATTTAATTAAACCATTGTTTGATCTGTCCATTGGAATGAAGCACTTTTAATGGGCAACGTAAATTAATTTAAATGTCCCGTCATTAACTCGCGGCTACTTCCGATGCTACATGATAATTTCACCTTAGATTTTACCAGTTAGCAAAGTTCTGTACTTATTTCTTTTTTAAAAGCCAAAACTGTTTGTCTTTCATAAACATCAAAATAAAATGCTCAAACACGTATGGTGTATCTAGATAAGGCCGTAATCGCATGATGCCTCACTGATTTCGACAGCGCTGTCATTCTTCGATAACGTTTAAAAATGAGTGTTGGGTAGATATCTAAATTCTTGGCTATAATCTACATCATTTACTTCAGGCTCTAATGAACTTTATTTATTGTGCTAAAACCGTCTAAGGTATGGGATATAAAGGATGCGACTCAGTGTTGCGACAAAGATGCGCTCAGCTGAATGCCACGGAGATTCGTCCACCGGATACGTCCACACTGGAAATGACGAATCCTGCGATGCTCCATCACGCCTCTGAAGTGATGCACTTCGTTAGCATCGGGGTCACTGGCCTCTTCATCGCCTTCACGGTGCTCAAAATTGTTTGCCTTGGCCGGAAGTTCTTTACAAACATCTATGAGGTCAGTCTCAAAATCGCGTGAAATGTAAACGAAATTTATTATTACTCGGTTAACATTGAGCCTAGAAAAGAATAAATAAATGAATAATCGGAAGCGTATTGCAGGTAAGCTTAAAAAGCGGCAAAATAGGAGCCCATTTGTTATAAGGATTCAACTTCACGCCATTGAAATTACAGAAATCATTCCTTTCTAAGAATGAAATTGAATTAATGGAGAATGGTCATTCCCGTTTTATGATTAATTTTTGCAACGTCAAAAATCTGGTTTGATATGTATCCCCAAGGGGGAAAAGGAGTTAACCTTACTAAGTTGCAGCAATTTAATATCTTCAAATGCTTAAAGCTGAACTATCTGGTGATACAGTATAATCATATTTACTCCTGATCATTCAGGAGTGTAAGTGAGCATGCCTTTGTAAGATATCAGTACTTTGAATCTAACACATTTAAAAATGATGACCAAACTTGCCAGTCAATGAGTGAGGGTCAAATGCTAAAGCTCTCCTCATCACCACATTTAAATTGGCAGTCATGATGGAGCAGCTAGTGTCCGCAAAGATTGCCAAAGCTAGGTGGAAACACAGGTCTAATTTCTTTGATTTCATATCAAAATTAGGTATCAAAAAGAACGGATCTTGGAAAATATCTTTTGGGATGCAAAATAGAATCACAAATTTTGCCATACTAATTTTTAAATTGCCCCTTGATGCGACCTTTCCGAAAGCGCAAAGTTTTTCTATTGTAAGATTTTGCCTGTACCGGATTCCACAAACAATCACTCAGCGTAAGAGAATTTTGAGGATATGACAAACTTAACAACGTTCGGATATTTCACTGCTTAATATGCTTTCCAAATGTGCTATTTTGTAGAAAGAACTGGCATTTATTAAAAGAAGAAATATCTTAATCTTGATGCGGTTTCTGGCTCCAGCTCACCAAAAAACAGATAGTTAGCACTATTTTTATAGTGAAAATGTACCAAAAGCAATATATGCGTTGTTGTTAAACGCCTAGAGTTTTTTTAACCTTTGCACAGCATAGACGATAATAAATAAGTAAATTGTTACTGAGACCTTTTAACAGATTTGGTTACATTAACTTTTGTCTGCCTCGATTAATTTACACCTTCTTTCTAACCCAAGTAAGGAAACTGCTTACACATCATTCTATAGTAAAAAGCGCTTGTCGATTTTCCGCATAAGTCCAGAAAAAGAAAATTTTCCATCTAATTTATCTTCTGAGGGAAAGAATAAAGAGTAAAGTTTGCCTTTTTTGTGTAAGAAACATTGACAACTCTGTGCTAGAGAAATTTGTTCAGAGAATGAAAACCCTGTTCAACAATCGAAATGTAAGGCTGATACTCGTAAACAAGGCGATTTCAATGAATTGGTTAATAAAGTTGTATTACAACTACGCGGGAGCAAAGAGCACAGCTGCTTTGTTCGTAGCAGCTATTTCATAGCAGTTGCGTAGAAATGACACAGGATAAATTGGCATCATTCGCTAGACATTCTATGTTCATCATCATTGTGCACTTCTGATGGAATTGTCGCAATTCTTTGATCACCGACTTTATTATTCATTTTACTTTAAATATTACAACAAATTTACAATATTGACAGAATAATTGTGACCAAAACTTCATCAGGACTTCGTAAAAATCTTGACATTTTGTGTTAGTGTTACTGTGGTTAAGGAGTTTTGGGCATTTCCCCATCAATCAAATAGATGAATAAAAATGTGGGAAAAAATATCATCAGTCGACACAGTTATCCTATGGTTAAAGTATTCATAATTACTCACAGATGTTAGTGAATTCCCCATCTGGACTTCTAATCACAAAAAGCCGCTTGGAAACCAGAAAACCACACTAATAACAATATGGAAACGAATTCTTTTCTGCACTGGATAAAATAAAGTGTGATGAGTATTTCCAAACTTATTCTTTATGTTATTCAGCCAGATATATAAAAATTAATTGGTCAAAAAGACTCGTGGTTAAGATTTATAAGTCATTGAAATAAAGTCGGCTTGTTGTTTACCTAATTTTACTTCAAGACTCGACCTACATGCTTTGAAATTACTAGCTTTTTAATGAGAAACTCGATTATTCTCGGTGTAAGACTAATAAATAGTCTTACATATTTTACTAGGTTTTATCTAATCCCCAAAGCTTTGCGGGATTTTCAGGATTACGCCTCAACTGTTAGAGTTCAGAGAGAGCTCTGCAGAACAAAATAAGGAACGTTTTGTCAATACACTCTTTTTTCCTTGGCTGCTATTCAGGTGACCGATGCGCTTGTCATCCTGGTATCGTTTGTCTCGGACATATCCTACATAAAGCTGGACTCTCAGGAAATCTCAGCAATGGTGATTCTTCTTCTCTGGAGAATTGTGCGTCTCATCAACGGTAGGTGGACGTTCCTGTGAGCATAATCAGTTGTACGTAACACGTACTTGCGCAATGTCCGTATTTTTGCGTAGGAGGGGGGCTGGCTTCAAAGCAGAGCTCTACGAGAAATACCTCCGTATACATTGCGTTAAGCCTAATGCTGATGCCATGAACAAGAAGCAAAATTAGTATATACTGATTCTTTACTTTTTTAGCTTAAGATAGATGAACTGTAGTTGGTTTAATTCACAGACCTACTTGGCATGTTGTGCAACTTAATTTTCAAAAGGGAAATTTGCCCTGTTATGTGAACATGCGGACAACAAAAAGATATTTTTAGGTAAAATATGAGCTTTAAAATGCACAAGTTTTGTACAGATTTACCATTTTGCAGTAAAAATGAATCCAAGAAACCCTACTTGCTAAATTTTGGGATATTCATTAAATGTTTACTACTTAACATCATGTTCATTTGCTTAATCAGAAGCAAAATCTGTTTTCTCACACCCCTTGTAAAAATGCAATTACGTAGAAAAAGCTAATTACATGGAAACAAAATTTTATTCCGAGATGGAGCAGAAGAATTTCACTGAGGTGAAATGCAATTTATATGAGTGACATTAGAACTCATTAGGTTTTTCACTTGTTGTGACGCGTAGTATCGTATTCAAAAGTGAGATAAGGTTAAGTCTCAAGGCGTTACTCCTCTTCTTTTTTCGACTTTATACAATTTTTAGGTGCATTATGTCGCGGTCTACAAGTTTCTTGCAGAAGTATTTAAAAATGCTTATCCGTTTTGGGCATTTGTCTAAAATAAAAACGCGGCACCCTCTTGGCATATAATTACCTCCATCACTATTTGGCCTTCTATTGCGGTAGTTTATCACCCAACAGTAACGGGTTAGGCGAAGAGATGTGCTCAAAGGGAAAAAACCAGTAATTCAAGATTTTTTGGACTCAATTCAATCATGAAAGCAATTAAATTCCTCAAATTTGTTAATGGACAAAGCTCCGGGAATCCTCCGAAGGTGTACATTTGGCTCTGTATTATCAAGCAAATAAATAATAATCAGAGGAAATGTTCATATCATACTTGGAATTTGCCTTTTTTGCATCGGTGAAAGAGTCATTATTGCATTGCTTAGGTTAGACATGAAGTTAACTAAGGGAGATCCCGAATAAAATGTAGAGTTTCGTTGTGCCATTTAATACTGGTTTTAGCCATAAGAGTTAGTGTGTCAATTATTCCGACAATTGCTCCTCATGAATACCATCAGGGAAAAACTTAAAGACTTTAAGGTTTATAGAAGTAACAGTTGTTGATACCTGAATTGGACTTTACAATATTTTGATTCTTTGGCATTTATAAGACGCGATTTTCAAGATAACCACAAAATAAGTCCACTTTTTCCCCATATTTACCTATTATTTTATCAGAATTATACCACTACTGTGCTAGGTTCATACCTTTGTGTAATATTAGCAACATACAGCATCTACTAACATTTTGCTAACTTCATTATACACGTATCATGCGCCACAGTCCCTCTGAGATAAAAATTGTAGGAAAATCAATTGTGCTCATTTTTTTGTGAATAATGAGAAGGTAAATCCTTTATTTTTAGTTATTTTAAATAAACCCTAGGCATGATTTCAGGACTTCATTGCCGGAAAATTTGCAACCTTAAGATCATCTAAGGTTTAATAAACAGAGAAATCAAAATACAGAAGACATTAAAAGTTCCTAGAGCACTAAGGACATTTGAATTGCACAGTGTTGGGAAAAACTATTAAGCATTGTCTGCTTTAACCTAAAAATGCTTAAACAAATTCCTACTTGTGCAGAATTTTTCTGGAACCTTCTTCCAGTTAACAAAAAATGTGAAAATTTTTGCTGTGAAAATAGCCTGCAAAAACGAACTTCTAAAGAGTCATTGCATTCACCTGCTACTGGAGGATTGTTTTGAATTTCAGCTATGTTGATGTACGAAAGGCAACGCTGTGAATTCCGAGTAATTTTGCAGAAGCGTGCACGACGCCTTCAAGAACGAAAAGTTGATAATCTCCAACGGAATAAAGAATTATTTCAGGTGAGAATCACCGAAAACGTCAACTCCCCCCAAATCGGATGGACAGGTTAATTCTAAGTTTATACTAAGTTGAGCATTTAACACGATCTTGTGATAAACTAATACTATTGATTTCATTTGAATTACTTGGTTTCAGCTTTGTAGGTCCATTGATTTTTTATTTACTTCTTGAAATCTGTAGAAACACATAACAAACCTGGAAGAGCTAGCCAGAAACCTTGGATGCTCAGAGGAATCCATCAGAGACTGCAAACCTCGTTGTAAGTCGATTATTAAAGCGGATGATTTTGATTAAAAAGTTGGCTTTTGGTAAAACTGTTTATACCTACAGATGTGTATCACTCAAAAGAACAAACCCAAAATGCCTTGAAGTCGATTGCCGCCCTGACAACCGGCTTTATGGGCGGACTTGTTGGAGCTCCACTTGCTCAAAAGGAATCCATAGCTCGATTCACGGCCAACAGTCCTCCTGCGCACAGTGCCAATCAGGTATGTATCAGCGTTAAATCTAGCGCAAGTTACGATTTACTGCAGCTCAAGACTTTGCACTCGCGCAACTTAGATTGACGTAGCTTGTTAGGTTAACTATTTGGGAAATGTCTACTCCAATTTTGCATCAAATAATCTAGTTTTACATGCAGTAGTATGGTCATTATGTGCCCTAATAAAATAAGGAAGTTTTCCAACTTTAGGATACATTCCTTTAGTTAATTTTTTAATGTCATAATTAAAGAAGCCGTTTTGGCAATAAGTTGTCATTTAAGCAGCTTTTGTAAGAAGGTATTTTAAAAAATTCTTGTTATATTTATTGTTCTGCTGTCATAACTTATTAGACGAAGGTGGGCCTGTAACGGTTTAATCAACAACACATTGAAGGTTTGTATACATAACTAACAGTTAATGCGTAGCTGTGATGAATAACAGGATTTTTCCTTTAAACCATTTAGCACTCAAATCAAATTTTGCTAGTTTATGGCATTACCTCACAGTTTTTGCCAATTTTTCAATGCAAATAATTTGCCTGTAATACATTTAAGACCAAATAACATGCTAGTTACACTATTAGTATGATAGAATTCTGCCTATAAAGACGAGCTTTTGCAAACAGTCAACAGAAATCCAAATGTTCATTTGAGTTTTGCACATTTTCCTCCCCAAAGGGGGATTATGTCTAGCAACAGCAATATTTGAAAATTTTAATTTGGTCCCTTGAGAAAGATCTGTGTCAGAAGTTTTTACTGATTTGCATCGCTTGTGATAAAATCTCTGAAGATAACAAATTTAATAATCAGACAATATTCTTAATAAGTAAAAAGTTGAGCGACCTGGAATATTTTAACGCAAGCATTTATACATTACTTATGCGCGCTAAATGCAGCGCAATTCGCTTAATTTCTTGAAAATGGAATAATGGTGTGCTTATAGCTCTGAAAGCCTTTAAAAAACCTTTGAAAGTGGTTTAACACATTGGGATATTTACTAGGTGTTTAGCAAACTCTTATTTATGCTGATGTTTACCTGTGGTTACCAGGACACGACTGAAAAAGCATAAATGTTTAGATGATTTTAGCCTTTCTTCTAATAAGTCCGTATTGGAGGCTTCAAAAGTTAGGAGCATATTTTGTCCAACTTGTCGAACACGCAAAAAGCTGCATTTCCTATCCCGTCATTCAGTCCTCATGTGTGAGCTAAAAATGATGATTGAGGAAGTATACATGCCACGCGGACAAGAGAATCTATGAAAATATTTTAGTGAAATTTGAAAGCATATTTGATTTGAAAAAGCAGGAAACATTGACGGGTTTTGAAAATGGCAATAAATATCAAACATTTGGGAAATTTCGATACGGTCGCATGCTTTAATTGTCCGTGAAAATTGGAGCATTTTGAGCACTTTAAATTCGCGCAATCTTGTTACTTTTAGATTGACAGAAATATAGCCTAAAATGTGCACGCTTAGAAAATGCGCATATTTTTGAACGTGTGTATCCTGTAGCACAAATACTAATTTGAAAAATAAATGTGTTTTTCATTAAAGATATTTTGCAGCAGTGGGTCGCGCTAAATGTCGTGCATTTAGGTCCTCAGAATACCTAGTCTTCTATCAACATTTAAAGAAAGTAAACATTTAGCGGGAGAGAATAATGGATTCAACAATAAAACTAATGACCACCTTTGAGATTACCACCATCGTTTTCTTGTCAATTCAATTTTTCACCCATAATTGTACTTCATTACATCCGGCATAAATTAAGACGAATACATTAAGTTGAACTAATTATTCCTTCCAATAAAAAATTTGTCTTGCTTTTATTGTGCTAGTAGAATTCAGCACTTTTATTAAATTATTAATTTAGGACTGCAATGCTTCGTTGGTGAAATTCCTCTGATTACTTTTACGAATTCTCCAAGACGAGTGTCACTTGAATTAGGTGAGGCTAAAAAATACATGCAAATATAGCCCAGACTTTGAACTAGGTCTCTGCTGACGCGAGATGACAAAGTCTCTTATTCAACACTGATTGTTCATTTCTGGTGTCATTTTCACTAAAGGTTAAATCTAATCTGATCATATCAAGCAATTGAGTTGCCAAATAAAGTGGTGAAATTTGAGAACTTTAAGTTTTTCGAGACTTCAAACGAAGTATTTCTTCAGAAATCGTGAATAA